TCATGTTTTTAGTGGATTAGGCTTTCGACATCATATCTAAGAACTTTTTGTCTAACTTCAGTTCATGAATATTTTCTTCTGTTTTCTTTTTTAGATATGCTTTGAATTTTCACATTTACATGTATAATCAATTTTTAGTTAGTCTGTGTATAAGGTGAAATTTAGGTCAAGGTTCAGTTTTTTGCCGGATGACTAATTATTCCAACACTGGTTTTGGAAAGACTGTCCTTTCTCCTTTGAATTACTTTTGCACCTTTGCCAAAAATCAATTGGCCATCACTTCTTACCCATCAGAATGACTACTGTAAAACAAAACGAAAAACAGAAAATAATGAGCGTTTGCACCAGAGCAACTCCATCTTGAATAGGAGCTGGAGAAAATAAGGCTGAGACCTGCTGGGCTGCATTCCCAGGAGGCTAGGCATTCTAAGTCACAGGATGAAATAGGAGGTCGGTACAAGATACAGGTCACAAAGACCTTGCTGATAAAACAGGTTGCAGTAAAGAAGCCAGACAAAACCCACCAAAACCAAGATGGTGATGACAGTGACCTCTGGTGGTCCTCGCTGCTCATTATACACTAATTATAATGCATTAGCATGCTAAGAGATACTCCCACTAGCACCATGACCTTTTACAAACGCCATGGCAATGTCAGGAAGTTGCCCTATATGGTCTAAAAAGGGGAGGAACCCTCAGTTCTGGGGATTGCCCACCCCTTTCCCAGAAAACTCATGAATAATCCACCCCTTGTTTAGCATATCATCAAGAAATAACTCTAAGTCAAGCAGCCCATGCCACTGCTCTGCCTATGGAGTAGCCACTGTTTTTTTTTTTTTTTTGAGACTGAGTCCTGCTCTGTCACCCAGGCTGGAGTGCTGGAGTGCAGTGGTGTGATCTTGGCTCACTACAACCTCTGCCTCCTGGGTTCAAGCAACTCTCCTGCCTCAGCCTCCCGAGCAGCTGGGACTATAGGCACACACCACTATGCTCAGCTAATTTTTGTATTTTTATTAGAGATGGGGTTTCACCATATTGGCCAGGCTGGTCTCCAACTCCTGACCTTGTGATCCACCCGCCTCAGCCTCCCAAAGTGCTGGGATGACAGGCATGAGCCACCACGCCTGGCCTTTTCCTTTACTTTCTTAATAAACCTGCTTTCACTTTACTCTATGGACTTGTGTCCAAGAACCCTCTCTTGGGGTCTGGGTCAGGACCCCTTTTTGGTAACACCGGCAAGAATATGGAGAAACTGAAACTCTTGAGCACTGTTGTCATGAGAATGTAACATGGTGTAGCCACTAAGGTAAAGAGTATGGTGGCTCCTCAAAAAATTAAAGAGAGAATTACACTATGATCCAGCAATTCTACTTCTGGGTATATATTAATAATAATATATACTAAATAATATATACTACTAATAATAACCAAACTTGATTTATCCTACTGTACTCTCCCAACACAGAGTACTTCAGACACCAGAAGTGTGTGGGGTTCTCCCCAAGACTGCCCCTCACTTCCTATGCCAAGTTCAAGCCCCAGGTTGCTTTACCTGCACTTCTGACTGACTGGCTAGAAATGGGGGATCCCCACCTCTGGTCTGATTAATTTGCTAGAGTGGCTCACAGAACTCAGGAAGACACTTAACTCTTAACTTACATTTCCCAGTTTCTTATAAAGACTATTACAAAGGATGCTGATGAAAAGATGCCTAGGGTAAAAGATGAAAACGGATGTGGAGCTTTTATAGCCTCCCAGGCATGCCACCCTCCAGGAACTTTCACAAGTTCAACTATTCAGAAACTTCCCACACCCTGTCATTTGCAGTTTTTTATAGAAGCTTTGTTGGGTAGGCATAATTGATCAAACCATTGGCCACTGGTGATCAACTTAACCTTGAGCCCCTTTTTCCTGTCTAAAGGATGGGGCTAGGGCCAAAAGTCCCAACCTTCTAATCATTTCTGGTGACCAGCCCCCATCTTGAAGCTATCAGCCATCTGTCAACTCATTAGCGTACAAAAAGACATCACTTTGGAGATTCCAAGGATCTTAGGAGTTGTATGCCAGGAAATTGGAACAAAGACCAAATATATATTTCACAGTATAACAATACCCAAAAGAATTGAAAACAGGGAATTGAACAGATATTTGTATACCCATGTTCATAGCAGCATTATTCACAATAGCCAAAAGGTAGAAGGAATCCAAGTGTCCATCCATGAATGAATGGATATACAAGATGTAGTACACATATACGAGAGAATATTATTCAGTGTTAAAAAGGAAAGAAATTCTGACAAATGCTACAATATGGATGAACCTTGAGGACATTACATTAAGTAAAATAAGCCAGTCACAAATACTATATGATTACTTATATGAGGCACCTAAAATAGTCAAGCTTATAGAAAGAGAAAGTAGAATGGGGGTTGCCAGGAGTTGGGGAAAGGAGAAAAGGGCAGTTGTTGCTTAACGGAAATAGAGTTTGTTTTGCAGGACAAAAAAGTTCTGGAAAGTAGTTGTACAACAATATGAATGTATTAAACCATACTGAACTGTATACTTAAAAATGGTTATGATGGTAAATTTATGTTACATGTATTTTACCACAATTTAAAACAATCAATTGGCCATATTTGTGAGGATCTATGTGTGGGTTCCATTCTATATGTCTAAGTCTTCTCCAATATCACACTGCCTTGATTTCTGTAGCTTGATAGTGTCTTTTTTTTTTTTTTCTTTTTTTTTTTTTTTTGAGACGGAGTCTTGCTCTGTCGCCCAGGCTGGAGTGCAGTGGCGCCATCTCGGCTCACTGCAAGCTCCGCCTCCCCGGTTCACACCATTCTCCTGCCTCAGCCTCCTGAGTAGCTGGAACTACAGGCACCCGCTACCACGCCTGGCTAATTTTTTTGTATTTTTAGTAGAGACGGGGTTTCACTGTGTTAGCCAGGATGGTCTCGATCTCCTGACTTTGTGATCCACCCTCCTGGGCCTCCCAAAGTGCTGGGATTACAAGCATGAGCCACCATGCCTGGCCTTTTTTTTTTTTTTTTTTTTGAGACGGAGTCTCGCTCTGTCGCCCAGGCTGGAGTGCAATGGCGTGATCTCAGCTCCCTGCAACCTCTGTCTCCTGGGTTCAAGTGATTCTCCTGTCTCAGTCTCCTGACTAGCTGGGATTACAGGAGCCTGCCACCACGTCCAGCTAATTTTTGTATTTTTAGTAGAGATGGGGTTTCACCATGTTGGCCAAGCTTGTCTCGAAATCCTGACCTCCGGTGATCCGCCCACCTTGGCCTCCCAAAGTGCTGGAATTACAGGTGGAAGCCACTGTGCCTGGCCTTGATAGTGTCTTAAAATTGAACATTGCTTATTTTTTATTTGGGGGAAGGGGGTGAGGTAAGATGGATAGCTATAAACAGAACCACTAGTATTGTAAATATATTCTTAAATAAACACAATGGACACAGTCTGATAAGTTTTATGCTGAGAAAGATGGGGCCATGTTATATTCCTTTGTTTTCCAGTGCCCAGGCCAGTGCCTAACTACCATGGAGTAAGCACTCAATAAATGAGAAACAGTCTTGGAAAAAAATAATCTGAGCACACAGAATATTTTCCAGCGTGCACTACAAAAAACATGTAGTCAAAAATATCCATAGAAGTGTTGCTTAGAATGGGGCAAAAGCCCAAGGAAAAAACCACCCTCGCAGGGTTAATGAGAATTACAAGCCAGGCTTTAGGCTGAATTGTGGTCAGGCATCAACCAGGCACTGGTGTGCTCTGACTCATCTCCCTGCAGCTGCTAACCAATCGAGGGTCACGCAGCACACTGACCACCTGCTCCCCCACTGCTCCCATAGATAGAATCTGACATGAGACCTTTTTACCTAAGAATTGCTTAAGGTGTTTTTCAGATCCTGAATTCCAGCTGAATGGCTGATGCCAACCGGTCTGAAGACCCCTACCAAGAAACCGATTCAGCATCTCCTGGTCCCGTGACCTCACCCCCAAACTTCTCAACCAATCAGCAATCCCCATACTTTAGACCATCATCTGTCCAGACCCCTTAAAATCCCCATCCCCCAACCTCTCAGGGAGGCAGATTTGAAGAGTCCTCTCATCTTGTCTTCTTGTTCAGCTGCCCTACAATTAGTCAACTCTTTCTCTGCTGCAATCCCCACTGTTTTGGTGCATTGGTTTGTTACCATGCAACAGGCAATCAAACCTGATGGTTCTATAACCATATTCAAGTGAAACTGAGAAGTAACTATATAAATGTGAAACAGAGAGGTGTGACTTAGAAATTGTACACATTGGGTGTCACAACTTCCCTATACTTTGTGTTTTCATACTGACCTTGTTCAACACTAATAAAGTGCCAACTTTGACTGACTGATTGTGATTCTGATGATGATGAGAAGGAGGAAGAGGAGGAGAATAGGAATACGGTAAGAAGATTTTAAACCACTCTCTTTTCTCATCTTCCAAGTATTTACAAGTGGCTCAGTTTTTCCAAGTATTCCTTTCTTTCTACAGAACTTCCATTAAAATAAAAAACAATTCTAAATCAAGCCTTATGGACAAGAATTAATGGTCCTCCCCAATATATCCCAAATCAGTGTGTCATTTGAGTAAGTCACCTCTCTCCCAGATTCTTATTTGTCCTACATGTAACTGGGGTTTTGCAACAGATGTTACTCTTCCTTCTCCTTTCCAGGTCTATTAGAAACTTTACTAGGAAAGCCTGAAAGTAAAATCTGTACTGTATATAAATCCAGAGAAATGTTGATACTCACTAAATAATTTCCTCAAATCTGGTCACCTTTCTATGGGAAAATGCCTCATCTTAACAATATTTCATGCATAAAGTCATTTGGCCTCTTACCTGCATTGTTGGATATTTTTAAGACCAAAAGCTTGCTAAACCCAGAACAGTGAAAGCATTCAGTTGAAAATAAAGTGAAAAGCCACATATGTCTTAGAGGGAGAAAACAGTGCTAATGATTTTAGGCTTTAATAGTTTCAAGATCCCGACTGGCTGTTCTCAAAAGCCATCTTTGCATTGTTCCTCCTCGGGCTCCTTGCTCGCCACGGATTCCGGCAGCTTTATCGCCAGAGTCCCTGAACTGTGCGTGCTTGCGTTCCTTCCTTCCTTCCTTTTTGTTTTTTGTTTTGTTTTGTTTTTGTGTGTGTGTGTGTGTGTGTGTTTTTTTTGAGACGGAGTCTCACTCTGTCGCCCAGGCTGGAGTGCAGTGGCTCGATCTCAGCTCACTGCAAGCTCCGCCTCCCGGGTTCCCGCCATTCTCCTGCCTCAGCCTCCCAAGTAGCTGGGACTACAGACGCTTGCCTAATTTTTTTGTACCACCCGGCTATTTTTTTTTTTTTTTTTTTTTTTGTATTTTTAGTAGAGACGGGGTTTCATCGTGTTAGCCAGGATGGTCTCGATTTGCTGACCTCGTGATCCACCCGCCTTGGCCTCCCCAAGTGCTGGGATTACAGGCGTGAGCCACGGTGCCCAGCTCTCGCTTTTTTTTTAATCCCCTGCATCAGATCACCAACGTGCCCCACCGTGTCAGATGCAGCCCTAGACACCAGCTCTGAAGTCATCACCAAGGACTTAAAGAAGAAGGAAGTTGTGGAAGAGGCGGAAAATGGAAGAGACGCCCTGCTAACGGGAATGCTAATGAGGAAAATAGCAGGAGACTGACAATGAGGTAGATGAGGAAGAGGAAGAAAGAAGGTGGGGAGGAAGAGGAGGAGGAAAAAGAAGGTGATGGTGAGGAAGAGGATGGAGATGAAGACGAGGAAGCTGAGTCTGCTACAGGCAAGCCGGCAGCTGAAGATGATGAGGATGATGATGTCCATACCAACAAGCAGAAGACCGACAAGGATGACTAGACAGCAAAAAAGGAAAAGTTAAACTGAAAAAAAAAAAAGGCCACCGTGACCTATTCACCCTCCATTTCCTGTCTCAGAATCTAAAGGTGGTCACCTTGTAGTATTGAGGCCTGCCCGCCATGGGCAGTGCCACCCACAGATGACACACACTCTCCACCACCCAACCCAAACCGTAAGAATTTGCAACAAGGGAGGAAAAAGAACCAAAATTTCCAAGGCCCTGATTTTTTTCTTAAAAGTACTTTAAGAAAACAAATTTGTTTGTGTTTTTTATTTACATTTTATATTTTTGTACATATTGTTAGGGTCAGCCACTTTTAATGATCTCGGATGACCAAAGCAGCCTTCAGACTGTTCTATGTCCTACTTCTGACTTTACTTGTGGTGTGACTGTGACCACGTTCATTATAATCTCAAAGGAGAAAAAAAAAACAACTTGTAAAAGAAAGCAAAAACGACAACAGAAAAGCAATCTGATTCCCACCATTCCAGTAACTTTTTTGTGTATGTACTTAGCTGTACTATAAGTAGTTTGTATGAGATGGTTAAAAAGGCCGGCTGGCGTGGCGGCTCACGCCTGTAATCCCAGCACTTTGGGAGGCCAAGGCGGCAGATCACCTGAGGTTGGGAGTTCAAGACCAGCCTGGCCAACATGGAGAAACCCCGTCTCTACTAAAAATACAAAAAATTAGCCGGGCATGGTGGCTCATGCCTGTAATCCCAGCTACTTGAGAGGCTGAGGCAGGAGAATAACTTGAACCCGGGAGGCAGAGGTTGTGGTAAGCCAAGATCTGCCATTGCACTGCAGTCTGGGCAACAAGAATGAAACTCCGTTTTGAAAAAAAAAAAAAAACCAAAAAACAGGCCAGGTGCAGTGGCTCACACCTGTAATCCCAGGCCTTTCTTTGGGGGTCGCCGAGGTGGGCAGGTCACAAGGTCAGGAGTTTGAGACCATCCTGGCCAACATGGCGAAACCCGGTCTTTACTAAAAATACAAAAAATTAACTGGGTGCAGTGGTGGGTGCCTGTAATCCCAGCTACTCAGGAGGTGGAGGTTGCAGTGAGCTGAGATCGTGCCACTGCACTCCAGCCTGGGCAACAGAGTGAGATTCCATCTCAAAAACAAAAAGGCCAAAGATAAAAGGTTTCTTTTCTTTCCTTTTATTTTTATTTTTTTAAGATGGAGTCTTGCTGTGTCACCCAGGCTGGAGTGCAGTGGCACCATCTTGGCTCACTGTAACCTCCACCTCCCAGGTTCAAGTGATTCTCCTGCCTCAGCCTCCCGAGTAGCTGGGATTACAGGCGCATGCCATCACGCCCAGCTAATTTTTGTATTTTTAGTAGAGACGGGGTTTCACCATGTTGGCCAGGCTGGTCTCGAACTCCTGCCCTCATGATCTGCCCGCCTCGGCCTCCCAATGTGCTGGGGTTACAGGCGTGAGCCACTGCGCCTGACCTTTTTTTTCCCTTTTTTTGTCTATGAAGTTGCTATTTTTTTGGGGGGAGGCCTGTTTGATGTATGTGTGAAACAATGTTGTCCGACAATAAACAGGAATTTCATTTTGCTGAGTTGTTCTTAAAAAAAAAATAGCTGCAATGTCCCAGAGAGAAAAGTAATAAACAAGTAGGCTTTCAAAAATATCAAGGTTATTGGTGTTTAAAATCAAACTATGGCTAGGCACGGTGGCTCACGCCTGTAATCCCAGCACTTTGGGAGGCTGAGGAGGGAGGATCACTTCATGCCAGAAGTTCAAGACCAGCCTGGCCAACATGGTGAAACTAAAAATACAAAAATTAGCCAGGGGTAGTGGTGCACACCTGTAATCCCAGCTACTCGGGAGGCTGAGGCAGGGGAACCACTTGAACCTGGGAGGCAGAGGTTGCAGTGAGCTGAGATCACACCACTGCACTATACTCTGGGTGACAGAGTAAGACTCCATTTCAAAAAATTTTTTAAATAAAATCAAACCATTAGAGTAGTTCAGACTTCCTCTAACACTTGCAGGGCCCAGACTAAGAATGCAAAAGAAGGCCCAAATATGCTACATCCAGGTATTTAAGTTGCAAATCGAATTAAACTGTCAGAGAAAACATGCTCTATCTTCCTAGCTTGACAAATGCACCTTTCTAAAATATTAAACGTTTTTTTTTGGCAGGGGGTGTGGAGGGGACAGAGACTCGCTCTGATGCCCAGCCTGGAGTGCAGTGGCATGATCTTGGCTTGCTGCAACCTCCACCTCTCGAGTGCAAGCAATTCTCCTGCCTCATCCTCCCAAGTAGCAGGATTACAGGCGTGGGCCACCACACCTGGCTAATTTTTGTAATTTTTTAGTAGAGACAGGGTTTCACCATGTTGACCAGGCTGGTCTCAAACTCATAACCTCAGGTGATCTGCCCACCCCAGCTTCCCAAAGTGCTGGGATTACAGAACATTAAACTTTTAAAATTGGTTTAAAGCTCTATTTCTCCTAAAGTTAAAAATGGAGCTAGTGCAATGGTGTGCACCTATAAACTCAGCTACCCAGGAGGCTGAGGCAGAAGGATTACTTGGCTCAAGAGTTTGAGACCAGCCTGGGCAACACAGCGAGACCTTGTCTTAGAAAAAAAAAAAAGGCAAAATGTCAAGATAATTGAGTGTTATTATGGTTGAAAGTGTCTAGATGCTCTGATGATAAGCTGGTGATTTGGGGATGAGCAAAAAAATAAAATACATATTGCATTTTTTTTTTTTTGGCCTTCACTTATTTTATTTTCCAAGACGGAGTCTCACTCTATCACCCAGGCTGGAGTACAGTGGTGCGATCTCAGCTCACTGCAAACTCTGCCTCCGGGGTTCAAGCAATTCTCCTGCCTCAGCCTCCTGAGTAGCTGGGATTACAGGCATGCGCTGCCATGCCCGGCTAATTTTTGTATTTTTAGTAGAGACGGGGCTAGTCCTACATACATACAAATGTAAGAATAGCATGCATCATTCAGTGTTACAAAATGTTTCTCAGGTCCTATACGCAACTGTGGTGAATACCAAAGTAATTTAAGTACCTCAGGAATCAGAACTGGAATGTGACAAGAACATGAATGCTCAGCATACCAATATTTCAATTTGGCAAGAGCTAATTGCTTTCATGCTATCCATGTGTAAGGATTTGGCAGGCAATTATGTTTGTTTCTTCCCTAAGTGCCTCCTCCTCTGGAATCCTTCCTCTAATTGGAACAGTATCTGCTTTGACATCAATGGCATACAACCCACAAACTCTCATGACCTTCGATGCAGATGCCTTGTGTTTTGGGAGCATAGATCAAGAGATATCTCTTGGTGAGCAGCGTTGCACATAAGCGTGGGTGTTTAGGGCTTTAGGTCATGCTGTACCAGAATAGGGCATGGGGTCCTGAGAGACGAAAGTACCATTTGCCTGTAACAAAGCAACATAGGTATTGGGGTGTATAAAATGTGTTGGGGTGCTAGGTTCAGAGCAGGGTCCCTCTTGCCTGGGTCTAAAGGAGATACTGCTGCAGTTCATAAACAAAACATTGGTACTAATTATGCCAAGAAAATTCTTTGTTCAACCTGATTCTACCCCTTTTACGTATCCAATATAATAAATTACAACTCCATAGTATTAAATTAATATCTTCTTAAAGTAGAATCATAAGAACAATGGAGAAATATAGTAATAAGGGAAACAATAAATTGGGGTCCTGTTCACTAGCAAATCGTGCCTGTTCATTGTTGAAAATGTGAAAATGAAGGTAAATAGCATTATTTCCTAAAGCACGTACACAGGGTAGAGCTGTTGTAATTGTGTTTTTGTCTTTTTGCAGTTCAGAAAGTTTCCTAGGCCGGACGCAGTGGCTCACACCTGTAATCTCAGCATTCTGGGAGGCTGAGGTGGGCAGATCGCCTGAGGTCAGGAGTTTGAGACCAGCCTGGCCAACATGACGAAACCCCATCTCTACTAAAAATTACGCACTTTCCCTAGTTCATTCAACAGTGGGATTCCTGTGGATTTATGTTTTCTAGTTTTGTGGGGGAAAATCAGAACTACTTTGCCAGAGGAAGTAAAAGTTCAGCTGAGACTTAAGGAGATGGCATTCAGCCACGTGAAGTGCAGTAATCCAGGTAAAGTATCGACCTATATATCCCCCTGGTTCTCAGTAGTGCTCAGGGGACATTCCCATTAGTGATGATTCACGTGGCAGTGAGCAGGAGAGGCAGCTGACTGCCACGCAGGACCACTGTTGTTTTACTCCTAGCTATTTCTCTTGCTCAAGCAATAGTATACAAGTGGGCATGTCATATATTAAAAAATACATATTCAATATATACAAATATGTATCATATATTATTTGTATTATATATATCTATAGGTATCCATCTATCTATCTAGGAAACAACATTAAGAAATGTAAGAGCTGGTCCCTTGCACTGGAGAAGTTTATACAGCAGTGAAGGATATAAACAGGAGAATCAGACTTAGGGAATATGAATAAGGAAAAAACATCACAAAATACCAGGTGAGTGAGTGACCTGCATCATACTTGCACTTAAAGCTTCACCTCTTCACTCCCTGAACAACCAGTGAAACAGAAGGCAAGTACAGGGGAACTGGCTGCCAGCTGATTTTGATGTCTTATGCCACCAAGAACTTCTTTCTGGCCTGGAGCAATGGCTCATGCCTGTAATCCCAGCACTTTGGAGGCTAAGGCAGGCGGATCACTTGAGGCCAGGAGTTTGAGACCAGCCTGGCCAACATGGTGAAACCCTGTCTCCACAAAAAATACAAAAATTAGCCAGGCGTGATGGCACACACCTCTAGTCCCAGCTACTTGGGAGGCTAAGGCATAAGAATCGCTTGAACCTGGAAGGTGGATTTGCAGTGAGCTGAGATCGCGCCACTGCACTCCAGCCTGGGTGACAGAGCAAGACTCTGTCTCTGGAAAAAAAAAAGAAGTTCTTTCTGATATCCAGGACCTCTTCCGTCAGAAAGAAAAACACCACGAAA